TGTTTTAGTCCAAGATGAAGAACTTCAGAATTGTTCTTTCTTATACCAGCTTCTTAGAATTATTTTATGAACCAATTGAAAATGACTCCAATAAGCTTTTCTTATAATACGTCACTTACACTGTTCATTATCCTGATAATTGATGGAAGAAATGGCAAAGTAGATGATTCTCTAGGATAAAACGATATATGGTTGTGGTGTGTGTGTATCTGTTTAGTTTTATTTCTCTAAGGTAGTTTAAAGCATTTCATGGCAACATCTAATTGATTGCTAGATTAATTCCTTAGAAGAGTTCCTTTGAATGCTGTTAACAAACACCTATTTAAGAAATAATATGGTAGTCATTACTAAATAAAGTTTCAATGTTATATCTTTTATATATATTTTCTGTTGACAGTAATGTCAGTAAAAATGGCTGACTATCGAGACCAGCTTACAGTGAGATACTTTTACCTCACAATTTATCTTTTGACTTTCATATTGTGGTTATAAATATAAATCCTATCAACATGTTAATGTGTTATGTGGAAAATAAATTTGGAGTCAGATAATTTTGCCACATGCTGGGTTATTCAGGCCTAAATGGGTTTCTTTACTGCAGGACATTTTAGAACCTTTAATACACTAATGTACATTATAAGTATTTCAGAATGGGACAAAACCATGTTTGCAGAACTTACTTAAACATGGAACACTCATTTCGAAGACTGTTGCTCCAGAGAACATATTTTGGGAGCTATTTGTATTTGATGCAGTTAGTATTTGTGTGAATTGCTGTAAAGGAAGTTGTGGGTCTAAGCTTTATTAATGAATGCCATCCAGTTTATGTGAAACTTTAACACTTGGACACTTGGGACAGTTTCATATGCTTTATGGATCCTCTTAAAAAATAAGAGCTTTATGGGGCACCTGGGTGGCTCAGTCGGTTAAGCGTCTGACTTCGGCTCAGGTCATGATCTCACGGTTCATGGGTTGGAGCCTGCTTCCAATTCTGTGTCTCCCTCTCTCTCTCTCTGACCCTTCCCTGCTCACTCTGTCTCTCTCTCTCTCTCAGAAATAAATAAAACATTAAGAAAAATTAATAAAAGGTTTAAGATTTCAGATATGACTTTGCTGCTGCTGCTTCTATAGCTTTTCTCTAGAATGAAATTCATTCACATGCTTAGTGTTGAAATGTTTCTAAAACAGACTGCTGTGGTAGGTATGATCTCTTATTTTATTTTATTTTATTTTATTTATTTTTTTTTTTACAAATAGTTTATTGTCAAATTAGTTTCCACATAACACTCAGTGCTCATTCCTACAAGTATCCTCCTCCATGCCCATCCCCCCTCCCCCCCTCATCCATCAGTCCTCAGTTTTTGTCAGCATGTGGTATGATCTCTTGATGACTCCCTCAACTCTTCACTCTACCCTGGTGTTTTCCACTGTGCTCCAAACTGATAAATTTTTAAGTTCCTGATTTAACAATTTTATATGCAAACCCTTAGACACATCTGAACTTGGTCAAACCTTTGCTCATCGTCTCCCATTTCATCCTCCCTCAACTCCAGACTTCAATTTCTGTTTTCCATCCTGGTCACTGGCACTATTGACATTTTGGTCTGTTCATTCTTGTAGGAGGCTGTTTGATGCATTGTAGATGTTTACCGACATCCCTGGATTCTACCTACTAGATGCCAATAGCAATCTTCCTCAGTTGCGACCACCAAAAATGTCTCCAGAAATTGTGGAATGTCCCACTTGTGACAAATCACCCCCCATTTGAGAAACATTGCCCTGCAACCAATCTTGCTTAATCTTACTGGTTCTGTTTTCCAATTTACCTTTAATCCCTGCTCAGTCTTCATTCCGCTCCCTAACCTCCTTCCTTCTTTCCTTTTTTAATGTTTATTTATTTGCTTTTGAGAGAGAACACAAGCAGGGGAGGGGCAAAGAGAGGGAGGGAGACACAGAATCTGAAGCAGGTTTCAGGCTCCAAGCTGTCAGCACAGAGCCCATACGGGGCTCGAACCCATGAACCGTCAATTCATGACCTGAGCTGAAGTCAGATGCTCAACCAGCTAAGCCACCCTGGGAGCCCATTCTTTATTTCTAATACTTGAGTTTCTTTCTTAAGAGTCTGACTGACCTTCCTATGTTCAATCTTGTTTCCTTTCCATCCACCTCTTCAGTATTTCAAAATGTATCTTGCTAAAATGCAGAGCTGTTCTCTATTTACAGTCTCAGTAGTTTCCAGAGGGGACCCACATGAATTGGCTTCTCTCTTCAGCCTCATTCGTCAAAGGCACTCACACTCCCTAAGGTTCTTGCTACGCATACCAGTGTCCTATGGCCTCTTCCCACTTGACCATACTTTGTTTCAAACTCTTCTTAGACATCAGTTTCTCCATGGTAGCTCTCAGTCATTTCTTTCCAGAGAATCTATCATGATGAAGAGTTTTTTTTTTTTTTTTTTTTTTTACATCTGTCCTCCGTCAGCAAATTGAACTTTTCAGGGGAAGGAACCATCTTTTCTCTATTTCTGGCTTACAGTAGATATTCAGTTGAAGTGTGAACCACTTATTATTATGCCTTGATAGATGTAGTAACTTCCTCTTTACTTCTAGGAACTCTGTTCCCTGTGACAGCAGTGAAATTATTTTGCTAATATTTTTAATGGAGTCTTTGACAAGATTTTGACCAGAAATCTTGAACTTTAATTTTAAGAAATCAACTATTCAGAAGAGAATTGAAAAGCATTGTACTTAGTTGATTCCCAGATTCACAAGGAACACTTGTAAAACAGCTAGTATAAAGATTTTTATTCAAAAGGGTATTAAATTTATGGATTAATTGTGCAGATTGTATGAATTAAGATGCGGAAAGTATAAGACTCAAAACACTGGATTTCCACTGATAAGGATTTGTTGATTGGTCATATAAGATGTGTAAAAGTAATATCATTGTCTTAACTATTTTTGTTTCTTATAAAATCCATATATTGCAATACCCTGCACTATTTAGACATTTACTGCTTGTCAAATGGGGGAAAAAGTTGTTAGTAAACACTAGAGTTCTTACTTCCCTTCCTTCCATGCCCTAGTAAATACACTTTTGTGTGATTGGGTTTTCCTGTGGATTGGAACTAGTTATTTACAGTCAGGCTGACCACCTACACTTAATCCTAGAACTTTAATTAAAAGGTGAAGAAAAAACAAAACTCAAGGTTTGCAGGGCTTTTTGGAATATAACCCAAGTGTAGCATCAGCCTCCCTGAAAAATTGAAGGATTGAAGATGGGGGAGAGGGAATGAATTGGACCTCTCTCCAGTTCAGAAGAATTCTTCATACAGGCACAGTGCTTTGCCAGATTGTGAATAATTCTTTGTCAAATGAATCTATATATAATGTGATTAAGCCAGAAATGATGACTCTGTGCTTCAGTATTTAGGGAATGGTTTAAGATTTATCAGTTGCTTCGAAAGAGATTCTAAGAATAAGAAAAGTTGTTATGGGGGTTTCCAGAAATAAAGCTGGGAAGAGCCAGGTTACCTACAGGGAAGCCCTCCCTTTCATACCTGCTCTCCAAGGGCTGAAGAAGACCATAGGCATACGTGACACCCAGCCCATTATTATTAGTCTGAAGAGTCGTGTTGCCCTGGGCCCAGACTTGCCTTGCCTGTTTTCCAATTTCTCCTTTTCAATACTCTCCTTTCTTTAAATTTAAAACATTAAACATTTAATACTGGTTAAAATTCTCTTGAGGACCTTAAGCAGCTTTAAGAAAGGAAGATGTGTAATTGAGAGAAGGGAACTTTATTTGGGCTCAAAGCAAAAAAGCCTGGTAAAGGCTGTTTCCAGAAGAACTTCTACTCAGAACTTGGAAAATTTTGCATATACTTTTGTTGCATATAGATCATCACATGCTTGTTTTCCAGACTGTAAAATAAGCTAATGATATTTTGAATATACATTTTTTAATAGTTTGGGTTCTTGAAATTATTTGTAAAAGCTACTGTTTAAGGCCCTACTTAATCTCAGTAAAAGATACTGTGGCTGTGAGCCACTTTGTTTTTCATATACTTCTTAATGTAGCAGAGATTATATTGAATGTAAACTTTTCTCAGTAAGTTTATTTACCTGTTACCAGAATAATCTAGTTTTAAATAGGTAAACATTTTTAACCTAGTGCTTATATAAGGCTCTTGTATCTTAGTAGGATAGAGTCGATTCTCATTATTTAGAGTAGCTGTGTTCTATAAAGGCACCACGAACACTGAATTATCAAATACTGAATGATTGCTCCTAGGGTACATCGAGAGTTAGGTTCCTACAAGCCTCCGGTCACATTTTCATCAACAAATCAATGTATAATCTTGTTTTATGTGTGTTTATATTTAAAGACCCCTTATTTAATATATATTATTGATTCATTACCATTGAACTCATGGCCAACAGCACTATAATTCATGCCTGAACAAAGCTTATAACATTCTCTCCATAAGACAAATCATAGCCTTCTTGCACCTAAGAATAGACAGCACTTCAGCACTATGCTCGGGAGCTATTTTACACAGTGAAAACACCAACAAAAAGCACAGTATTATGAAATGCATGGTGCCAAATAGATCACTAAAAGGACACTTGTTTTTAGTATGGGAGCTGAAACAAGAAGGCCAAGTGTTGCCTTGACCAACCTTAGACGGAAATATGCACATCAGGTGATTCACATCTTTCCACTGCAAAGCACTGAGAAGGTATCTCAAGTACTGATTTTGGAGTTACAAATATATTTTAGTGAGTAGGCAGCCTCATGAAGTAATGAGATTGGACTGTAATTGTTTTAAGATGCATATGATTGAATACTTACAGTATTGAAATATGGAAGAACATTTCTCTGATCTTGGGGATGTGGGAGTTTTGGGGTAAATGGAGTCATCCTCACAGATTTCATGTTCTGCTGTTCAGTGTAATAAAACTGACTGCTTTCAATCTGTCATTTTATTTTCTGCCCAATAGGGAGCAACCCATCTTCAGCACTCGAGCTCACGTCTTCCAGATTGACCCAAACACAAAGAAGAACTGGGTACCCACCAGCAAGCATGCAGTTACTGTGTCTTACTTCTATGACAGCACAAGAAATGTGTATAGGATAATCAGTTTAGATGGCTCAAAGGTAAGTTTTATTCTCTTTAAAGATCTTGCTATTTGCTTTATATAGTAGAGCATTTTCTGGTTTATTTGGGGAATTTTCATCTTTATTAAAACACAGCATTTCTTTTCGATTTTTAAAACTTAAAAAAGCCAAAATTGATCATTTTTAGCAACACTTTTTGTCCTTTTGTCTTCTAAATTACTTGGATCAACCACCTTATTTATATTGAGTCCTAAATATTCTACAGATTTTAGGTTAGTTTATTTGATACGTATTCATTGCATATCTGTTACATGTCAGGCACTATGCTAGTTGCTAGGAATACAATGGTAAACAGAATGGACAGTTTCTACAGGTTGGGAGCTTACAGTCTAGTGAGGAGCTAGAATTCTTTTCAGATATTCTTTTGTAGGTTAGTTGGCAATTCACATACCCTACATGGTATGAAGTCTGGTCATTGTCAGCATTAAAGCAGACATCCCTTATTCTGAAAAGAAGTATGTGGACAAGACCTAAGTTTTTATTTTTAGTGAAGGCAAATAGTATAATGTTTAAAAGCATGGACTGCCTGGGTTCATATCTTAGCTCTGCCATCTACTAAATTTTTTAACTTTGGTCAAATTCTCTGAGCCCAAATGATTTCTCTGGGGCTCATTGCTCTTACCTCATTAGTAGTATTAGTAAGAATTAAATGAGTTAATATCTGCAAAGCACTTTGATCATTGTCTTATAAATAGTACGCCTTTCAAAGGGGGAAAATTCCACTTTTTATCCATGAATTTTGAATAACACACGTAGATAAAGAAATACCAAACATCAGATTCTGGATATAATGTGTGTAGAAGGACAAGGGCTCCATTCTTCTCCTTCAAGGTTTTTTAAAGCCATGAGGCCTTTCAACTGGCAGAAGTTTTAGCGGGTCAGCCTGGGGGCTAAGAGCATAAACTCGAGATCTAGACTGGTTTGAATTTTTGCTCTACTGCTTACTAGCCATGTGACCTAGAGCAAGATACTTCATGTCTTCATGCCTCAATCTTTTCATCTGTAAAAAGGAACTAATAAAAATAACTACATCGTTACACCATAGGATTCATGTGAAGATTAAATAATTTATGCAAAAGCCCTTAAAGGGAGTATAGTAATCACTATACAAACACTGCTCTTGTTATCATTATTAATATTTTCAGGCTATTAGTTATGTATTGCCTAGTGGTTTTGGGAAACAAGAGATAATTTAATGCTCAACTCTCAGTTTGTTTTCTCTTGTGCTTATCTCCTTAACTAGATTACAGAACCCTAGGGGCTATTTACGCCTTATCTTGTACTTAAGTGACTAATGTGTATTTATTAGGATAATTGGTTCTCTTCCCTTTTTACTTGGAGGATTTAAAGGACTTGAGAAATAATAATAAAGTTAATCTCTATAAAGCTTCCTTAATAAAGAATAAGTTTATCATATTTTATAACTATTTAGTGATAGCAACAGATATTGTTATGATCTCAGCCACTAGAATATTAATTTCTTTCTTTTCTCTGACTAGAACGTTCATTTCTCTATAATCTGTATTTCCCTCTTGGCCCAAACCACAGATGAGATGTAGTTTTATCAGATGGGAGAGTTAAATGGAATAAAGTTCAACTGAAGTATTCCCATGCCCCTTGTGATTAAATAACTCGTGTGTTCTTTCTTCTGAGACATTAGGAACTCTTGCTTATGGCCTTTCCGTTCTTGAGGATACTTTGCAGCTTGTAATTATTAGACTCTTAAATAGCTCTTGAAAATAAGTTTTTATTTATTTTAACAAAATCTACACTCTGTAGCAATTACATTTTCTATCACATCTTCCATTTTCTAGTTACTTCTTTAAAACTGATGCTGGTAACTACTGCAGTTCCCTGCAGGGAGAGTTGTTTTTGGTAAGCAGTAGTGTAAGCAGAGTGGCTTACTTGTAGCTAAGTGAATGTTTTCTCCACCCGCCCCACTTCTATTTCTGCGCTGTGTGATGAGTTGGAAAGCCCTTAGGTGCCCCTGATTAGAAAATGTCCGTTTGTTCTCATTCAATGCCCTTGGCTGTGCATGTAAGGTTTGCTTAAAGGCTTTCTAATCATGCTGCAGAGACATCAGCATGGCTGAGGGCCAGGATAAGGGCACTATATGATCTGTAATGACACAGCATTTCTACCTGTTTTCCTTGAAAGGATGGGAACTCTGGGATTGAGAGAAAATGTATTTTCAAGAATTAAGATTTTTCTTCATATTCAAAGAATCCAAAACATTCTATTCAAAAAATTCTAATGAATAATTTAAAAAAAAAATTTTTTTTTTTTGAAGGGTGCTGGGGCAGAAAGAGAGAGAGAGGGAGGGAGAAAATCCTAAGCAGGCTCCATGCTATAAGCACAGAGCCTGAAGCAGGGCTCAGCCAGACCACACAAACTGTGAGATCATGACCTGAGCCAAAACAGAGTTGGACGCTTAACTGACTGATACACCCAGGCACCCCATGAATAATTTTTTTTAAGTGTGGGATTGTCTTTCATTTTAAAGTTTTTTTTCAGTGATTAAAGAATCACTAAACAAGTAATTCCAAGACAGGTGGAGGCAAGGAAAGGTTCAAAATGGGGATTAAAATGGGACTCAGCCTTAAAAGCATCAAGAAGTTCATTTGAAATAGCTAAAACTGAAGGTCTGTGACCAATAGCAAATGGGTAATTTTTTCTTATATGCCTGTAAAACCTATTGCTACCTCACTTTTTGAGAGTTACTGGGATAATATGTAAATTGTCATTCTCTCCTTGAAAACGCTTAGATCTCAGCTCAAAAGCACCCTCCTCCAGGAACATTCAAGGACTAACCTGGTAACTGCCAGCTTTGCCTTCTAGACTGCCCCTCTCTGACACATGATGGTCTCACAGACTTCGCAGCACATAACACTCTATGAAATTACATTAGTCAGTTGTTGATATATTTGTTAATTGACTGACTGTTCTTGCTTTAGAATGTAATCCAGTTACACTGCCACTCAGTGTAACATTTCAACTCTCTAGAATGTGCTTGGCATTTAATAGGTACTCAGTAAAAAAAAGTTGCATAAGCCAGTGATTCTGTAACCAAATTCCTACCTTTTGTTATATTTTCTTATTAGCCATTTGTTAATATGTTCTTTTCCATTGAGTCTTTCATGACAACATGTAATTTAGAGGACTTTGCTAGCCACATTTTACAGAATCTAAAATGACATTCTAGGAAAAGCAGCTTTTGAACTGAAGGGTAAGGAGGTTTGAGTATGAGTATTTAAATTTTGTCAGAGGTAAAAATGCTTAATCAAGGATAAGGGCTCATAGAACTACAGGTAATACGTCTGCTGTTGTGACAGAAAGCAAGGGACCACTCTTTTACTATCTTCTTTAGTAGGACAGGTGTCATACGTTTATTATAACGTCTTCAATACATGCATACTTCATAAATACTTATGTACTGTTCACGTGTCCAATAGATTTTTGCTTTTTTCTGAAAATGCCTGATTTTCATTCTACATTTGGTAATTCACCAAAAAACTGCTTATGAATTTGGTAACATATTTACTTCTATCATTATTTCTATCATAACTTTGTAATGTCAATTTTGGGAGGCATTAAACTACTTAAGTAAACTGATTATATACTTTTATAGTACTGGCAGAGGGAATGTACTTAAGCTAATTATGTTACAGTAATATTGGAATTTATTACAGTGTTCACCAAAATTGTTAATTATTAATTAAAATTGTGAATTAATACACACTAAAATATGAATTTTCTAAGAAACTATGTGTTAAATAGAAGTGATAGTGAATCTCAATATCATGAATTTATACCACTTTATGGTAAAAGAAGTAAAGTATATATTTAGGGGGGCGCCTGGGTGGCTTAGTCGGTTAAGCGTCCGACTTTCGCTTGGGTCATGATCTCACGGTTCGTGGGTTCGAGCCCCGCGTCGGGCTCTGTGCTGACTGCCAGCTCGGAGCCTGGAGCCTGTTTCAGTCTGTGACTCCCTCTCTCTCTGACCCTCCCCTGCTCACGCTGTCTCTCTCTCTCTCTNCAGCTCGGAGCCTGGAGCCTGTTTCAGTCTGTGACTCCCTCTCTCTCTGACCCTCCCCTGCTCACGCTGTCTCTCTCTCTCTCCTAAAAATAAATAAAACATTAAAAAAAAAAATAAAAAAAAAAAGAGTCTCATGTTTAAAAAAAAAAAAAAAGTATATATTTAGGGGTTGATTTTTCCTTGAGTATGCTCATTAGAAATCCTTAGTTTTTTATGGAACTAAATAGCCCTGTATTTAAATACCTTTTTGCTAAGTTTTGGCTTGTTACTCGTATTTACTTTATTTTTCAGGCAATAATTAATAGCACCATCACCCCAAACATGACATTTACTAAAACATCTCAGAAGTTTGGCCAGTGGGCTGATAGCCGGGCAAACACTGTTTATGGACTGGGATTCTCCTCTGAGCATCATCTTTCAAAAGTAAGTTAACATCTTCAAATCACATGTCTTAAATATATAATAGCAAATGGAGAGTGTAAAATATAGGAGAAATTTAATACTCTCAGAACAACTGTAGTGTCTTTAAAGCAACAAGTGAGAGATCATTGGACTTCATTGTCATTTGGAAAATAATTTATACACATTAAAAACCGTCACCATTAATGGAGAAGTATTTGGGTGGTTAACTGTCTGTATGAGAGTTAGCATAACACTTGGGGATTATCACTTCTGAATGGACTCTGCTCAGGGATTAGCACCCTTAGTGGAGGTGGTTTTAAGTAGGTAGACCGCATGCTCTTCTGAAAATGGAAGCTGATAGTGATACAGATTTCAGCTTTTTCACATGAGAGCAGGCACATAAGAATTACTTTGTTTAGGGAAATTTCTCTGAGAATTACTTCAAACTGTCTGATATAGTACAGAACGGTGAGATCTAACAAACACGTGAAGAGTTCCTGGAACATACTTACGAAGTGAATTACTGGGCCAGAAAAGCCAACAGAATACAGAATATCACCAGGCTAAATACTGGAAATAAAACAGTTGTCCTGTCTATAAGAAGCAGCATGCAGTGTTTATACCAGCAGTGCCTTGTGCGTGTCATCCACAAAGAGTAAGGAAAAGCAAACTGTCTCAGGATAAGATACTGATCAGGGAGATGAGGAGTACTCACTTGGCTCTTAAGATTTGATGCTCACCAGATCCAAAGATTTATTCTTTGAACTTCTCTGTTTGAAGTGTTCCATTAAAAGGCTACCCCTACATTTCACAATAATTTAGTATACATACAATCTGATGGCTTTGGGAGTTACAAACGTTCAACTTCAGGGTCATCAGGCTCTTGTAGATACACACTGTTCATGTTTACACTGTAAGCTTTTCATTACAGAAATCAATCTGATGCTTAAAGATAAGTTGTTTTTAAAAATAATCTTACACTTTTGTGATTATTTATTGACTCGATATAGTTAGAGCAGTAATCGAAGTAATCTTTGCTTCTATTTGTTTTGGTTGTAGACATTTCTTAACATGGTTGTTTTTGCATATTTTTATTATCTTTAACATAAATTATAGTTTAGAGACCAATTTTAAGGCTATTTTAACTTTCATCTTCACGATTTTAAGTCCATTCTCTGTAGGATGATTAAAGTGAAAAAGCGTTATCTGATTTGTTTTCTTTTACACCCATCTGATTCTCTAAATACAATTCTTGGACTGTGGTAAAGGTATGAGTTGTAGATTCAAAGTATGTCAGTATAGCAGGGACAGAGGTATCCAGTTGAATGTTGCCCCTGCATAAGTAATCCCCTTAGGAAATGGCTCATTTGTTCTAATACTTTTGCCATTACTCAGATGGAATCTTTTTGGCACTTCCTTTTGGAATTGTCTAATAAAGTCTAGAGCAAAAAAAGTTTACATATTACACTTGATGGATTTCTTGACCACACAGAAACTAAATTGTGGATTAATTTCTCAAACTTGCATGAAATGATTTTGGGGCATAAGTAATTTTGACTACACATTAAGTTTTTGTCACGTCTTCGAGGTTATTGGGCAGCTAGCTAATGTGGCAAAGTAATAGCTTGTTCAATTCTGTCAATTATACTGTATCCTTTCATTAGATCTCTTTTTCTGAGAATAGCTTTTGTATTTCAAGAATTTTTCCTCTTTAAAGTTAACATATACTTTTGACCAACCTTACTGATAATGATTCCTAGTATTTTGAGGGAGAATCGACGTTAAATAAACTAGACTTGGCTCCAAGAGTTTTTCACTGGACTTGGCTCCAAGGATTGATGATCAGTCTCTTCAGAATGTTTTTGTCCAAAGATGACAAAATCATGATTTATTTTCCATGCTACCTTGAAGACCAGTGTCGCTGCTTTGTAGACTAGGGGATCCCAAGGAGTTTATAATCTTTTACATAAATGAAGTAAACATGTAATTATCCTGGCTTATTTTATCATTAAAAATCATAAGTGAATCAAAGCACTTAAAAGGGTTTTGAAAAGTCTGAAGGCAATTCTAGACATGGGTCTCTTAAAGGGAGAGTAGCAGCATTGAGAGAAATGATTGGTCTCCTAAGGTTGATGTATGAGGAAAATTGCAACTGTGATTGGATTGTTAGAGTGCTTACTAAGTTGTATTTTGTTACCATGGAAACCCAAACCTATAAAAATTAGGAGTAATGTGAGCCTTTATGAAGTTGAAAGAGTTTTAAACATTAACTACTTTGGAGTGCTAGATGAGTGTAAATAAACCTGTGTTTTACTTCAGATTACATTGAGAGAAATTAAGGTTTCTTTTTTATTCCATATACACAGGTGTGAACGAGACCTTTTTAGCTTTGTGTTCAGATTAATGGAACAGAATACCTCCTTACTCGAAAAAAAGTAGTATAGTAATATTCATTCAGTTCCCTGATCTACAAGTTATAGGTGACAACTTTAACATAAGAAGGAAAGTTGTAATGACAACTTAAATTTAACTTTCTTCCAAATGCCTAACGCATATAAAGTATCATGACCTTTCCTGCTAAAGTTTTCCTTCTCAAGATAGAAATGTAGTCAGGGTTGGCTTATGGGGTTTGAGGAAGGAACCATAATTTCATGTTTTTATTACCAGCTCTAGCTAGTGCTTTAAGTTGCGTGGAGATTTTTGATTTTTTAATGTTTATTAGGTAGCCTTAACTTATTCTGTCTGAGAATACCGTAGACTAGTTTCCACTTCCAAAACAGATTTGTGGCCCTGATATGTCTAGATTACTATGGGTTCATAAGAATTAGCATTTCATGGGCTGTAGTTTTTTTTAATTGTTGTTTCCATTTTAAAGAACTTTGTGGAGTTTGTGTTACTCCTTTCCACTGCTTTACATTAGCTGTTTAGGAATCTCTGGAACTGAAGTTTTAGTAATGCCATTTAGTGATATTAGTAGATGTTACCAATTATGTTGTTGAATATAAAAAGTCACACATAATATGAGAGTTTACGTTCCAGTAAAAGTTAAAAGCACGCGCTCTGAATACTGAGATGTTTATGAGTCAATACCTAAAAGATTCATTTTTCTCCATGATAAACAAAGTATGCTAATCTTTACTGATTCCACTCCCGTCCTGTACTCTGCACCTTCTTAGTAAAGTGTGTCTGAGCACTGAAGAAGGGACGTAGGTAAATTAGCTGACCTCAAATTCTAACTGTTATATTGTGATGTCTTTGACTGCAGTTTGTCCAAGTAGTTTGTAGTGTACAGATAAGTGTTTGGTGTTAGATTTCTTTTTCCATCATTTTCATATTACACCTATTATTGATTTGATGGCTAGCTTGCTTGCGTTAAGAGTCACTTATTCAGCAAATGAAAGAAAGCCAAGGTAAAAGTGGGCAATGAGACCTGTTTTTATTTTATTTGGTTAATGTATATAGTCTTTATACATTCAGTTCGCAGAAAAGTTTCAGGAATTTAAAGAAGCTGCTCGACTAGCAAAGGAGAAATCACAAGAAAAGATGGAACTTACCAGTACACCTTCACAGGTGGGTATTTAATTACTATTCCTATTTGTGAGCCTTATTCATTTCCGATGGTATCCTTTATGCCTGGGTTACATTTGGGAAAACAATGGCAAATTAAAGGTAATTTCCAGAGTGGACATAGAATATGCCCTTGATTTAATCTGTACTAGTTGAGAAAGGTGGTTTTTTCCTGTATGCCAGTGTCTGCAAGAATCTGGGGAGGAAGTCAGTTTAGTAATTATAACTCTGATTTTTTGATGTGCATATACCTTTAAAACAAGCATAGATTGGCCTAATGTTTTATGTTCTCTAATGGTCAATCACAAGAGGAGACACAGGACAGGTTCAGGAACATACGAGTTTATTGTACTCACAGGTCCTAGAAAAAGGCAACATGCACACATCTGAGGGGCACACAGGGAAGCCTCTGGGTGGTCAGTAAGCAGAAAGCAGGAGCGTGGGGAAAGCTGAGGCTAGAGCTGTATTGCAGTTTCCTTGGGAGTGGCAGGGCAGGGCAGACAGTTCAGGATTTGCCAAGCTGAGTAATTTCTGTAGGCTCTAAATTTACAGGGGTAGGCCCTTGTTGCCAGGTGCCTGGGATGATTAAGGCAGAGGAATTTTGCATCCCGGTGCTTGGGCCGGGTGAAAGAGATGTAGCTTTGGATGGTTAGTTTGCACATCAAAGGCATGCCTCCATCTTACCCCCTTGCTCTAAGAATTGGCAGCCAGAAAGGTTTTTTTTTTTTTTTAAGATGTCAAAACATCAAATATACAGAAAATTTTTTTTAAAAAATCTGTTTTATTTGATTTTAGTCTGTTTTACTTGATTTTAAGTGTAATTAAATCCGACAGTTGGGCCATCTTTATACTTAGTACTGAGACCCAAAGGTGATAGATAGGTTTTATGCAAGTATCGTTTCTTCCTTTAACAGTTGACTTAATACTGTGATTTGCCCATCATAATCTTCATTCATTTGGAAAGTAATTAGATCTCCAAGTAAAGTTCATTAAATAGTCCTATTTCATTACTTTTTATAAAGGTTTTAATGTACATGGTATGATTCACCTGTTTTAATAGGCTTTTCTGAAATTAATTTTTAGGGACACCAAGGTGGCTCAGCCAGTTAATGTCCACCTACCTCTTGATTTTGGCTCAGGTCACGATCTCACAATTCATGAGTTCCAGCCCCATGTCCAGCTCTGTGCTGACAGCATGGAGCCTGCTTCGGATTCTCTCTACCTCTCTCTCTGTCCCTCCCCCCAAAAAATAAGTAAAATTAATTTTTATTTCAATTTGTTCCCTCACCCCTGGCACCCAGCTGGATTTTGATAAACACTACTGGTATAAAGAGTTGGGGTTTTTTTGTTTTTCCTTTTTTTAAAAGTAGTTTATTGTCAAGTCGGTTTCCATATAACACTCACTGAGTGCTCATCCCCACGAGTGCCCTCCTCCGTGCCCATCACCCCCTCTCCCTCCCCCCATCAGCCCTCAGTTTGTTCTCAGCATTCAGGAGTCTCTCATGGCTTGCTTGTTTTTTGTTTTTACAGGAAAAGAGAGCTCTGTTAAGTATGCCTAAAGTACATATTTCCTCATAGACTACAGGTGTGCTCTGGACTGAAGCCAGGGCTCAATTATACCTCCTCCACATTTGTAGTGACCTGGAATAACATGAATAACTATCTTCCCTAAGTGCTAGTAGAATGATACTTTCCATAAAAACCTATTTAAAATTTAGTACCAATACATGTTGGGAGCTCCAGGTCCTCAGCTGAATGATTCTAGCTTTGTAAGAGGATATTACAGCACATGCAATTAGAGAATAAGCAAAGGACTCCATTAAAATGATAATGGATTACACTTGGCTGTTGTATTTAGTTCTTATTTCTCTGATCATAAGTTGTTTTTGTTTAATTGGCCATGAGTAAGTTGCTGGTAAGATACCTGCTCATTGGTGGTAGGAATGTCTTTAAGCTTTCACTTTCATCAAAAGAATGTATCCAAGATGTTTACATATGGAAAATACTGTGAAATATAAGAACTAAAAAATATCTTAAGTTCATCAGTATTTGAGAGCCAAAATATACTGACTTTAAGTTATCTTTTCAAATCATTTGAAGTCTGGTTGCTAATTTGATGTACAAAGCTAGAGTAATAGTTAAAAAATATATATTTATTTTCACTTTTCTTCCCCCTCCTTTTTTTGACAGTCTCTTACAGATGTCATTAATATCTCTGTTTTACTTTGAATTATATGACTGCTGGCCACTCTGATTATACTCAGCTGAAGAATAGAACTTGCTTCTCCCTGGCTTAACCTCATCTGCCAAATTAACACTCTGCCTGAAGAACAGAATATTACTCAGGAATTAAGCAAGGGGATCAAGAAGTTAAATGGAATAGGAAGTCAAATGGAACGAGTAGGCAGTTGGTCATAGCTCTTGTTTTTATTTGAGGAAGGATAATAGACTGGTTAAGAGTATGGGTTTTCAAATCAGATAAACTTATACATAAATTTTTTTTTGTCACCATGTGATCTTGGGAAAATAGCTTAACCCAGGTCTGCTCATACATCTGTAACATGAGAATTACATTACTTATGCTACAGGATTGTTGGAGAGAATAAGTATAATAATAACAATGTCAAATCATAATGGCACTAATGTAGGTTTTCCACCCTGTCTTTGAATATGGGCTTTAACCCTTACTAGTTTTTTTTTTTAATTTAGGCAAGTTAATATTTTTTTAATCTATAAAATGAGAATAAGCACAGTATCTCCTGAAACTAATATAATACTATATGTTAATTATACTGGAATTAAAATTAAAAACATGATGGAAAAAAAGCCCAGTATCTCTTCAGAGGGTTATTATGAGAATTAAATGAGGATTACAAAGTGCTTATTACATAGTAAGTGCTTAAGTGCCTACAGCTGTTGGTGATGTGGCCTGCATCAGAGTGCCCTGGAAAACTTACCAAAACACAAAATGCTGAGTCCTACTCCTGGCATTTCTGATTTAGTACAGCTGAGATGGGGCCTAAGAATTTGCGTTTCTGACAGCATTCCGGGAGATGCTGATGCTGTTGAACTGGGGACCACACTTTGAGAAACAGTGCTGTAGACAAACTATTCCACAGCATTGGATGAAGAGAGTCTGGCATTTAGAGCCAAGTTAGCCACTTCCCCATTCTTAAAGTCTTGAGCTAAGTTTGTATACTTGATAGAATGTGTGGTCCTGTCAGATAGTCTTGATGTTATTTTGATCAAGAAAACATCTCCAGGAATAAGTTGAATCATGTATTTGTTGTTAATCTGTTTCATGTCCTTCTTTAAGTAATAGACATTAATATAGAACTCTTTCTTTTTTGGAGATCATATGTTCTTGTGTGTCCATGGGCATCTTTTAAACGTTCAGTTTGACATAAAATCCACAAGAATGATGATTGGCTTTAAAGGGGCTACATAATCAAAATAATGCAATTTTTTCTTCATTGGCATTTAGAAAAAAATAAATTTTAGCTGACAGTTGACTAAGACTTCTGAATTGAGTGAAAAATTTACTGCATTAGTTGTTTGTAGTCAAACAAAAGTTAGGGTTCGCCCCCATATAAATTGTCAGGTTGTATAGCATTGGATATATCGTAGCTCTCTTAATCTATATTTAGAATAGCTTTTTCTTCAGATTTTTTTAAAAATTCACCTTAGAGAAAAAGTAGAATATATCTGTATGTGTATATTCAACAAAGGAATAAAGTTTCTTTAGCTTTGTTAATAAATATCATAATTTTTTAATGTTCATTTTAATGGTAAATTGTATTTACTCAAATGAGGCACTGGTTTATTTTAACTGACTGTTAGTATTTCTGTGACTAGCTATTCGATCTTTTACAAATTAATTGACTTTGCTAGGTAGTAGTTATTAAATCTGTAAAGTCTGAGATTTGAACTATATGATCTCTTTGGATGTTTCAAGCGTAATAAATCTCAGATATTTCAGATTTTCTTTAAAAAGGATGTCACTTGCTGTACATGGATTATTTTTTGAAAGGTGGTCTCTATTAGCTGAGTGTTACTACTGTGAACTGTATCAGTTATATATCTAGCCCACAGATATACCAATAGAATTAGCGAATGCCTATAAGTTAATGTGATCATTTCTTAGTATCACATAACAGAAGTGGTTTTACTGAGCCAGATACCTCAAAACAACTTTTACAATCTCAAGAAAGGTTCACTAGAATTCTCTAGGTATTATGGTTTGCTGTCTAAAGTAAGGACAGTGGACTCAGGAGTCACTAATCCTGTTACTTGTCTCAGTGGAGTATTTATCCATTTCTCTATTGGGTTTACCTCCTAGGTGTTTGCAGTGAGAATAGAGAGGAGGGAATAGATACAACCAGGGAGAAATTGGCTGAACTTGGAGGAAATACAGCAGTTGAAGGAATGGTGAGGGAGGCTGGTAAAGGAGGAGCTGGATGTTTTTGAAACTTCTATTGTTGTTTTGTAGCCTGAACTTCAGAAGAGGATTTCCACTTCAGATACTGAATTTGTATTCTAATTGAGCATCAGGGGGATGTGTCCTGTATGTAGTTAGAAATTTTGTATTGGAGCTAAGTCTCAAGAGTCAACAACAAATGAGCAGTAGTTAAAGCTATAGGAGAGAATGATCTCATCCAGAAAGAAAGCGGAGTGGTAAGAGAGGGATTTGAAGATTGTCACTTAAATTGAGGAAGATACAGGGAAAGACACTGAAAAGTGGTAGGAAATGAACCAGCAGAAAATGTTAGCAAGAGAAGAGCATTTTCAGTTAGAGGCAATGATTTGGCAGTGTCAGAGGGGTCTTCCGATAGGATGAAACTTAAGAGTACTTTAAACCTAACTGGAGATCATTGGTAATGACAGGTGGACTGTGGTGAAGAAAGGACAGTGTGAAGTAGTTTCTAGAATTAAAGGAGGTAGAATTGGTGACTTTGGGCTATTCTTGACATGGAAATGTTTGATAGCAAGAATAAGGTCACAAA